AAAAAATTAAAGCAGATTGCTTTTGGCAGAGGAATGGGGGCCAGTTACAACACGTTGAATAAAAATAAACACGCAGCTCTAGGAGGGCTGGCGCTCGCAGCATGATCCCAGCAGAGCTGCGAGGCCCACAGGAAGCTGACACTTGCGTGTAGCCGGGGCAGAGATGTTGCTTGTAGGCAGCCATTGGGCTGAGAGCAGTCGTTCAGTCTTGGTCTTCCAAACTCTAGGCTGATGCACCTTGGGTCTGATTTCTCCTCACTCTCTTAGTTCCCTCATTAAAGCTCTCAGTCCATCCCCACCCACCCAATTTTGACCTAAGCCTACTAAGTGGAAGGGTCTAGGCTTTGATCGCTGTGGTGCCTTGCGCAGAACTCCCAAGCCTGCCATTCACTCCCCATGTAACCTTGGGCAACTCGTTTTGCTTCTCTGTGGTTCAGTGTCCCTGTCTGGAAGGAAGCAGATGACCTTGGCCTTCCCTCAAAGTGCTTCCAGAGCCTTGCATTAAGACTATATGTAACGCAGCTTGGCACTGGTCTTGTGTGTACCTGCCTGGTCTGTTTTGGCCAAGACCTGGGCTTTTATCTTTGAGCACTTCTGCCTGTAGAGATAAGTGAACAAGACAAGTTCTCTGTCTTTGTGGCTGGCTCAGCCCAGGGCTGCAGCAGTGTTTGTTATTTGGAGGCTCCAAGGCCAAGGGCCTTTAGTTGCTTGCTTAATTCCTGCCCTGCAGTCCTGGGTGGGATTCTGCAGATTTGAATATTCATGGGCAAAGCTGGGGCAGGACCCTGAATGGGCTTATCGCTGAAAAATGAATGCTGCAACCAGGAGTTTGGGGCTGAAGTCTCCTCCTTTACACTTGCTGTGTTCCCCCGCTATATCGCCCCCCATGAACCACTTTTCCTGGCAAGGGCCATTAGATCCAGCTACCAACCCAACAATAGCAGTTTATTAGACCTGCGCCCCAGATTGTGTGTGTGCAACTTCTCTCCAGAATCCTAGCCCCTCCTGGCCTGCAGGTGAGGGATGGGGCCAGCGTCTTGCACTCTGGTCCTCTGCATGGCAGTGAACTATGTCGCTACCTCCGGTTTGGTGTGGAGCCAAGACCTATGTGCTCCGGGCTTTACGTGGGAATCCATTTAGAAGTTGCTGGTTGTCCTGGAATTCATGACAGGACCTTCCTGAACAAACCGTATTGGAACGGGTAAGAATCACAGGCTGGAGCATAAAGTTGCTGATTCCTGGCTGTAACAATGACCTGGCAGAGGTCCCTGCTTCCTTCCCTGGCTAGTTGCAGAAGCTAGAGTGGGACCAGCAGGGCTTGAGCTTGTCCTCTCTTCCTCCCAGCTGCTATGTAGTTCAGTGTGAAAACTGTCCTAATGCTGATGCCCTGCATTGCCCCACTGTGTGTGTCCACAGGCTAAAGGGAACAGCCTGGTAAGGTCCATCTCTGGACAGACACAGATGATGCCAGAGCTATGACAGGGGCTGCAGTCCTGGCACTGAGGGGTGATCAGTTATGGAACAGCTACAGGAGGAAGTACCTGAGGTCAGGGAAGAGGAGGAGGAAGAGGAAAAGGCAGTGACAGCAGCAGGTGGAGCCTTGGATACTACTGGAGGACCAGATAGTTCACTGCCTTCCAGCAGCTACACAGGTAAGTTAGACGGGCTCCCTGGGGCACACAAGAGATGTGCATGTGAAACAGTGGGTACTGGCTTTCCAGGGAAAGGGAAATGCCTGCACAAAGAAACGAGTCTTGCAGCCTGAAGGAGTAAGATGCTGAAAATGGAGAGAAACTCTATACAGCTAGGACCAGGATTTCCATGGCAAAGTTAGAGGGGTCCCTTCCTGTGCTGCATCTGACCTCATGTCAGGAAAGAATCTCTTCTCCCCCCTCAATGATGTGCCTGAAATGCTGGGGGAAGCTTGCCGTCCTCTGAAGGAAGGGGCATTGGCTACTGCCATATTGTCTGGGAATCAGACTCTTTCTTTGCACTGAGCTGCAAAGGGCAGAGGATCTTCCCTGTGAATGGAGTTTAGTTTTAATCTTTCTTTTTTTTGAACGGATTGGTTGAGAGCCAAGTTCCTGAGAAGCTTAATCCTACCACTAGAGAGGTACCATTCACTGAGCAGTGGGAGAGGAAAGTTAGAGTGCCACACACAATTTTAGGTTCCTAAGTTTTAAGGAGAGCTAAATCCAGCCTGAATGCGGATACAGAAAGGAAGAAAATACCATGCAGGTGGGCATTCTGGTGGTATATGAAAGCTGTTGCTTGGTGCCGGTCACATGCTTGACATGGCATGGGGCACCTTACTTAAAGTCAATCCTTAATCTACAGACCTGACTGTCCAAACATGATCTGTGGGCTCCGGCCTCTTGAAGAGAGACCTCCCTTACCTAGTTGCCCTGCTGTCAGAATTGCAAGCGTCAATCTGCCTGTTGTCACAAGCTAGGGACCCTCCAGTTTACCTCTCTGTTTGCCTGTAGACCTTTCCCAGAGCTCCTCTCCATCCCTGTCGGACCAACTCCAGATGGGCTGTGAGGATGCATCCTCTGGGACGCTAAACGTGGAGTGCAGGGTCTGCGGAGACAAAGCGTCGGGGTTTCACTATGGAGTCCACGCATGTGAAGGCTGCAAGGTATGGGGTGCATGCGGTGTTTAATTTCTGTCTAATGTGAAAGGTGTGGGGGCCCTTCTGTTACCTGAGAGAACTGAATCTGAAGCCACCAACTTTGTAACAGGCCGGGCTTTTGGTCTGGCACTTTGCTGTGTAGCAAAGTGGGGAGGCAGTAATAATTGATTGCAAACACCATTCTAAGGCCTGATCCAAGGGTGAAAAGGGGCAGACAGTACTGAAAGGGCCTGAAGTATGTCTGGAAGAGAGGCAACAGCCAAAGTGTGAAGGAGCTGAGCTCTGCGCAGCATGAGCCTTCCCAGTTGTGCATCCCCTCGGTTCTCACCCCTTGCATCGTGCTTCATTCAGCAAATCTTTTATCACAGTGAGGGCACGGGGCCAGATTTTCAGGATGTTCCCCGACTGATCTCTGCTATGGGTCAGCAGCGAGCGTGGATAGTTATTGCCGTAGGGTCGTTTGGCCAACGCCTGGACGCGATTATAAAATTCCTTCCCCCACAGCGGATGCCAGAGGGGCTGCAGTAGACATCTGGGGGCTGCCAAACATTCCTCAGGAAACGCTGGCAGCGGCTGGGACTTGGAATGCTGCTGCTTGCTTGCTTGCTTGTCTCCCCCTGCCGGCAGCAGGCAAGATAGAGACAGCCACAAACGAAACATCTCTCTCTTTGGCAAGCTGTTCCCTCCTCCCCCTTGTGATAGATGTTTGGTTTGTTCTGAGATCACCTGAGATCACATCACTCATGGCTTGGCAGCCTTTCTGCCTGCAGCCTGGACCTCCACCCCCCCTTGAACCTTTAAGAGGGTCCGAGCCACTCTGAGCTCAGAGCACCGTAGAGCTCAGCTGGTTCTGAAGCCCTGTTGACTAATGCTGCTGTTCTTCCCCCTTCTCCCTTTGCCATCCTTCCCGCAGGGCTTCTTCCGCCGGACAATCCGCATGAAGCTGGAGTACGAGAAGTGCGAACGGAACTGCAAGATCCAGAAGAAGAATCGGAACAAGTGCCAGTACTGCCGCTTCCAGAAATGCCTCTCCCTGGGCATGTCGCACAATGGTGAGGCCCCCCGCAGCCTCGAGGGTAGGGGGATGATGTCTGAGTGGGGGGAGCCTCACCTGCGTGTAATATTCAGAATTGCCTGGGGGATTGTGGGAACCCCTTCAAAGGGCCTGATTTCCAGGGGATGAATGGTTGTTGCTGCCTTTCAGGCATCTCTGACTGAGCACTCAGTATTGCTGATGGCTCCAGCAGATTGGGAGCCTATGTCCTCCAGAGCAATGCTCCCTAGGCAGGCCTCAAATAAGAGATGCCTCCAGGAACCTGTGCTTTGTAGCAGAGTGTGGTAGGGTAGGGGCAGTCTCTGCTTATTGAAGCCATGCCTCTATCATGGTGCCTCCTGGCCTAGGCACCTAAAGAGCAAATAGCAATCAGCATTTGCCTTCCCGAGAGCCTTTCTCCTCTGAGTGCCTTGCTGGCTGTGCACACGCAGCCCTGCAGCGCGGCTGTCCCCAAGGGGGGCAGCAGCCACACACACAAGACAGTGGGCCAGGGAAAGACACCGGAGCAAGTGTCCTGCTTTTGGGAAAAGCATGGGCACACAGAGCTGGAGCCACCCACGGCCTTGAGTTGTGCTTGGTGTCCTGAGAAGCAAGGCAGGGGATGAGTGGCTTTCAGCTTCATTTCCTTTCTCATCCCAGGAGCAGTTGGAGGCCAGCTTGGCCCCAAAAGCAAATTCGAAGAAGCTCTACAGTTGTCCTTCCTCATACTGGCAGGGGGAATTTGGGGCTATTCAACCAGGCAAAGTCCTCCCAGTGCAGCTTGCTGTAATTTGGGGCTATTCCACCAGGCAAAGTCCTCCCAGTGCAGCTTGCTCCCACCATGCCCCTGCTTCCCCTGCCATGCATGCTAAGAAAGACGTGGCCAGAAGTAGGAGGCAGAGAGCTGTCTGTTGTACAACAAGCAGGGATTCTCCTGTGCAAGAGAATCTCTGCTCACTGCTCAGTTATCCCCTCATGAGCAGCACACGGGATATGCAGGAGGCTGGGATCTGTCCCGTGGTGCTAACCCAGAGCAGGGGCCAAGTTGGTTCAGGTCTGTAGTTCCAGGGAATCAAGTCCTCCAAACAAAGTACTTACACCACAGCCTACCCCTTGGTTGCTGAGCTTCTTGGTCTGTAGCAGGAGGAGCCCTGGCTTGGGAGCCCTTCCTTTGCAGTGCGTGTCATGTTGCTGAACCAAGGAATTGCTTTTTTGCTGTTTGTTCCTGGACTGTGTGCTGTCCATGGGCCCTGGATGGTTTCCATTCCTTTCCACGTACGGAGCTGGCCCAGCAGAAGGCAGCAGCACAGATGGCTTTTCTGTCTTCTGTCCAAAAACGCAATAATCAAAAGCACAAGCATCGTCTTCCCCTCAGTCGTGACAGAGCCTGTCCAAGAAACAGGTCTCTGGGGAGCCCGTACTATTCCGTAGCACTTCTAGCGTAGCTCTGAACAGGGGCCTTGCTGGAAAATAGTGATAACGGCTGGTGCGGCACTAAGCCACAAGCTCAAATCTTCCAGGGGCCCCTGTAGCTTCATAGTAAAGCTCCCAGATACCCAGAGCCCTTGCTGTTGGTGAGTGGCATCCCAGTTGCCCTGAAGATATGCGTGTTCTCCTTGCTTGGTTCCTCGTTGTCATCTCCCAGAGTGCCTTATGATGCCCGTTTTGTCATGTCACAGCCATCCGCTTTGGCCGCATGCCAGAGGCGGAGAAGAGGAAGCTGGTGGCGGGGCAGCCAGCCAGTGAGATCAGCTGCCAGAACCCGCAGGTGGCCGACCTTAAGGCCTTCTCCAAGCACATCTACAATGCCTACCTGAAGAACTTCAACATGACCAAAAAGAAGGCAAGAGGCATCCTGACTGGGAAGGCCAGCAGCACCCCGGTAAGTGCCCTAGGTGGGCTGCAGAAGGCCAGTGCTCTAGGCCAATCATCCTCACCTTAAGGCGGGGGCCATCATAAGCATTTGATACCTCGGGATCAGACCCACAGGTACAGCCTGCCTGGGGCGACCTTTGTGCTAGTGTTTCACCCTCTAGTGTTTGGCATTGGAGTTGTATTTTGAATGCTGCTGTGATCAGACCAGGCCAGAAATTTGATCCTGCGATCTCCCTAATGGTTGAACCACCTGGGTAGTGGGCCAGGCCCGGCGACTTGTCCTGTAAGGCACCAAGGCAGAAAGCGCTCGCCTCTTCACCAGCTGTGAGGGAAAATGTCTGTTTGTTGAGGAACGCAGCCCAGTGTGGTGCTCATGTTAAAATGTGCCCGTCAGCTCTGGGGGCAAAGATGAACCCTATTTATAAGAATTTGTGTAGTGTGCTGGGCCTGGAGCTGGGAAACCCTGCCCAGTATTCATCCTAGCTGTTCAGCCCTCCCCGCCGAGAAAAAGCTGCTTTTCTTCATGGCAGGGTCCCCAGAATTGTTATAGTGGGAGCATCAGCCTGATGGCAGCAGTTCCTCTTTTGATATCTTTGTAGAGTCTGTGATTGGAAAGGAATTGCCAGGTAATCAAGGGTAAATTCTCCAAGTGTCTACACTAGCAAGGTTGACCCAGGAGCAACTGAAGCAGCATTGGGAAGCTATGCAAAATGATTAAACCCTTGAATGCGTGACCCAGTACACATGTAGGCATCTCGGAGGGCCCTGGCTCCCAGAAGTGCTGCTTATCCCTACCAGTCCTGGGTTTCAGCGCTAGAAGAATCTAACACAGGAGCAAATGAGCATCTCCAGCTGCATGGAGTGCTGCAGTGCTGCTCGTGCTGTGGCAGGATTCCCAAGGCTCTGGCTGCAGCAGCAGTGTGCAGCCCAGAATTCAAAAACACCAGCAGGGAAGCACCCCGGCAGTAACTTAGCCAGCAAATGGGCTAGGTGAGTGTCTCCAGGCTAGTGACTCAATGGGCTTTATTGCATCCAGCCGTGCTGCTGGTTAACCAGGAGCAGGGTGACCAGCCTCAGAGCACAGGCTCACTCCATGTGAGTGGCTGTGATGCTGCCTAGAGACTCCCACATGATCCATCACTCTTCTTATCACTGGGTTCCCACCACGAGCTACATAGTCCTTGAAAGCAGGGGGCAAAGAGATACTGTGGATACCAGGGATACCAGAAGGAGTAGTGAAGGTACAGAGAAGGGGAACAGGGATGATGACTGGTATGGAGTCTTCCATGTGAAGAGAGACTAAAGAGGCCAGGCCTGTTCAGTTAAGAAGAGAGACATTTGAAGGAGGGCATGATAAGAGTTTACAAAATATTAAATGGCAAAGAGAAAGTAAATAGGGAGTTGTTATTTACCGTCTCTCACAAAACAAGAACTAGGGGTCACAAAATGAAACTAGTAGGTAGTAAGTTTAAAACTAACAAAAGGAAGTTATTTTTCTCATCATGTCTTTGAAGCGTGGGATTTGTGGGCACCAGATGTTGCGGAAGCTGACAGTTTAGCCAGATTCAAAAAGGGATTAGACACAGCCTTGGAGGAAAGGGGCATCAATAGCTATTGAGCATGGGAGGTAGGAATACAGCCTTTGAATCAGAAATTCCTAGACTTTAAATGCTGGAGCCTGCAAATGAGAGAGGAACAGTGGGGGGAAAAAACCTGATCATACCCTGTTTGCTCTCCCTTTTAGCATCTGCTCTCTGCCATTGTGTGACACAGAGACTGGGCAAACTGGACTTTTGGTCTGACCCAGTAAATACCAGTTCTTACGCTATTATGTTAATTAATAGGATAGTGTTCTGAATCGCTTTCGGTATCAGAGACAGATCAGTGTGCTTGGTATAGCTGGGACTTTGAAGCCCTGTGGCGGAGATCTCACCTTTCACTTCTCTTTCACGTAGCCTTTTGTGATCCATGACATGGACACCTTGTGGCAGGCAGAAAAGGGGCTGGTGTGGAAACAGCTGGTGAATGGGATCCCCCCATACAAAGAGATCGGAGTCCACGTCTTCTATCGCTGCCAGTGCACCACTGTGGAGACTGTGCGGGAGCTCACGGAGTTTGCCAAGAGCATCCCCAGCTTCGTTGGCCTCTACCTGAATGACCAAGTGACTCTACTGAAGTATGGGGTGCATGAGGCCATCTTTGCCATGCTGGCCTCTATCATGAACAAGGATGGGCTTCTAGTGGCCAACGGAAATGGGTTTGTGACACGTGAGTTTCTGCGTAGCCTGCGCAAGCCCTTCAGCGAGATCATGGAGCCCAAGTTTGAGTTCGCTGTGAAGTTCAACTCGCTGGAGTTGGACGACAGTGACTTGGCTCTGTTTGTGGCTGCCATAATCCTTTGTGGAGGTGAGTCTGGGCCTGGTAGCCATGTGGGTGGCATGATTGCTGGGGGAGGAGCATGGAGACTCCTTGGCAGGTTGTGGGGTCGATGTGAGGCTCTTCCTGAGGAGAGCAAGACCCTGCTGCTGGGCGGGTGATCTGCTGGCTAGAGCTGAAGTTTGGATCTGGTGAATTCATAAAAAGGAGAATTGCATAGACCTGAAATCAAAGCCTTCCAGCTTCTCTGCTGCACTGGCTGTACACACCTTGGTGTTTCCTGTCACCACCATGAGGTGAGGCTGTAACAAATATAGAAATGGGGTTAAAGCCCCCATGCCCAGAACGTGCTGTGACAGGAGTTGTTTAGGGACCAAGGACTTCTGGCTTCTTCTCTGATGCTGACTCAGTGCATAAGTTTGGGCAGGCTGGTTAGGAGTGCCCTGTGTGCTCCCCTGTGGCTAATGTTTAATACTGTGATTCTCAAAAAAAAGCCAGCCCCACAAGATCCTTTTAAGGGTGTCATGCAAAGGGATCAAAGCATTCCTTAAGGTCTTTGCGCTGCTAGGTGTGCAAACACCTATGTGTGATTCACAGGATAAACCCAGAGATTTCAAATAGGAATCCACCGGGTCAAAAACACTCTGTCCTGCTGTGGACTTTTCAAGTGCTTTGTAACAGAACTGCTGTATTATTTTTCTGTAGTCAAGAAAGAAGCAAAAGCTAAAAGGGAAGGGACGCTCTCTGAGAGGTGCCTTCAGCCTAAAAAGATTGAGAACCACTCATTTTAATGAGAGTCATGCTTGGCCTATGCTTTAAGCTGTGTCAATTCTCTCCTACAGACCGCCCTGGCCTGATGAACGTGAAGCTGGTGGAGGATATACAGGACAACATCCTCCGAGCCCTGGAGTTCCACCTGCAGACCAACCACCCTGACGCCCAGTACCTCTTCCCCAAGCTGCTGCAGAAGATGGCTGACCTGCGGCAGCTAGTGACGGAGCACGCACAGCTGGTGCAGAAGATCAAGAAGACAGAGACAGAAACTTCACTGCACCCACTCCTGCAGGAGATCTACAAGGACATGTATTGAGGAGCGCTTATTTATGAGAGAGATTAAAGCCATCGACCCCTTGCCGAACTCTTTGTGCAACAACAAAGAATCCCTTTCCCTGTCTTCCATTTTCTTCTACTGGAAACTGTTTTCTATATGATCAGTACACACGGTACATAGGGCAAAGCACCATGAGACTTTGCAGTTACCGCGGGGTAGGCCAGGGCTTCCGTTAATATGCACTAACCAACCTTAAAGGGTGAAACCCGTTTCCATTGCTACAGCCCAGCTGCCTCAGGAGCGGCTGGTGCATTTCCACCCAGGTCGACAGGCTGTGGGAGCACTGGGCCCACAGAGCGGCAGCAAGGGGATGGTCTGATGTAGGAAGACCAAGGAGCAGCTCCAGTATCTGCAGGCCCAGAACTGCACTTGAGATCTCGCAGCTGCTGTGTATTATTTGTATTGCACTCCACAGGCTATCAGTCCTGAGCCATGAGGTCTAAGACCGTCACAGAAGCAAGCAGCTCTCAGGGTACAAGTCCCCCAGAGAAAACTGTGAGTGTTTGGAGAAGGGTACGATGCTTCCTCAGGGGACAGACCTGCTGCTCTCCCCCTGAATGCCTAGGGCAGACATGCTTTCTACTAGAGATGTGTCCTCGCCTGCCTTCCATACTGCTCCCTTACATGTGTGAGCCTTCGCGTGGCCTGAGTTAGTCCTTGTTAACCCGTAATTTCAAAGGCACCTGCCCCTTGGCACGTGCTCCTATATTCACCTAGAACAGTGGTTTTCAACCCTTTTTCATTTGTGGACCCCTAAAAAATTTCAAATGGAGGTGGGGGGACCCCTTTGAATTGTCAGTGTGGGTATTTACATACTTTTGATTGATCATAGTCATCTTTCGTGGGCCCCTTAGACATAGTCTGTGGGTGCCCAGGAATCTGCAGACCACACATTGAAAACCACTGGCCTAGAAGCTGAAACTTGGGGAAGGAAGGGAGAGGTGAGATGGAGGTTGGCTCACCTGGGTCTTCAGAGCCAGTGCTAGAACTTCTGTTGAGTCCATTATCCAATCTGGGGCGGACTTGAACTGCCCCAAGGGCCTGAGTCCCTGCTAGTGGGTGGATGAAAAGGATTCAGTGTTGTGAAGCAGGCAACAGAGAGCAGAGCAGGGCAGCACTAGGGTTTTCATAGCTATGGCCCCCATTAGGCAGTGCTCCAGCTTGCTTGGAGCAATTGTGGAAGAAGAGGAGCGGGGAGCTGGGTCATTTCTAGCCTGAAGGAAGGCTTGGATGAATCTGAGCTCATAAGAGAGAGGAGAGTACTTTTTACTCTCAGGTCTTCATCTCAGAACCAGTCCTGGTCTGTAGCGTGTAGATCACCTAATGGCTCTTGAGTGGCCTGTCGGGAATGAAGTCATTGTTCTAGATCCAGTTCCTGCTAGACAGGTGTCCACTTCACTACAGCTACCACCACTGGCACTTTCATTGGCATCCTTGGCACAGACAGTGAGCTTTGAATGGGCTGTGGAGGCTCACTTCTCCTGCTGGAGAGAGAGGTGTGTTCCCTCCCTGGCCAGAGTTGGGGTGGGTTACTGGAGTAGCATGGAGGCAGGTTTGGCCTTGCACACCCTGAGTTGAGGGTCTTGGACTCCCGAGTCGGCTGACTGCCACTTGGACAGAGATCCAGGTTTCTGGATCTGTGGGTAGCTCTCCTGACCCAGCAGCCCAGTGAGAGGAGGCAGCTGTCCAGAGAGAGAAATCTGGCCTTGCAGGTGAGGCCCCTTCAAGGATGCATTGGATGAGGCCAGTGGCCAAGAAGGCAAAGCCCTGCCCCCTGCTCTGATGCTATTCATTGGGTCCTGAAGGGAGGTTAGCTCCAGGTGGAGAGTTGTTATAGTAGTGTAAAGACCTTAGTGAATGCACTGCTTTGACCCCACACCCTCCTCTACAGACCCTTTGTGGCCTGAGGGAGTTGACCACAGGCTGCATGACCTTGTATATCTCTCCCATCTCTAATGCTAAAACCAGACCAGGCATTGACATTGCAGTGTTGGGGAGACCTCCTGCTGGAGGGCAACTCCAGCTCAGGCCTGGGAGAACGCCTGACTCTGGCTCAGCCGCTAACTTGCAAGCCACGTAACCGCTGTGCCTCAGTTTCCCCGACCCATGAGTGAGTCTAATGAAACTTGAATCTCCCTTGCAAGGGTTGAAGGGGAGCCAGCTAGTGTTTGTACAGTGCAGTATAAATACCGAGTATTTATGGCAGGAGGGGGGAATGCCCTGTTTGTTGTCATGACAAGACTGGGGCTTTTCAGGGGAGTCCTGGGATGACCTAGGGCAGCTGGCCTCCCATAACATCGTGCTTCCATAGTGCTTTGGTATCATTAGCAGGGACTTGTTCTGGCAGCTGTGGGCACCAGCTTCGCTCTCAGGCTCCGTGACCGGCAAAACCTTGAGCGAGCTTCCCTTGCACCTTCTAGCAGCAGTAACAAAAACACCTGTCATGCAGCTGAGAGGGACCTGCCCCCTCCCGCTGCAGCCACACTGAAGCAGTGTTTGAGTCTCTGTCTCCAGGAGAAGAGAGGATTGAACCAGGGATGTGTCTGGTTTTCTGCCAGGGGTGATGGCGGTCACCCAGGATCCCATCTGTGTGAGCACTTCCATGGGCAGAATCTGTTTAGTTTGATACGAGGCAGCTGGACCCAAGTCAGGGGCAGCAAGTGGCTGGGGAAGGGAAAGGGGGATGCCCCCCTACCCAGAGATGATGTATTGACCCTGCAGAGCCTGCCAGTAATTGCAGCACAACATGCTGGGGTTACTGTACGGTGCTGTGGGACAAGCCCTTTCTGAGGTAGCAAATTTCCCTGGTGCAATAAGTTAAAAATCCAAAGTGGGGAGGTGCTTTGCTTCCCTCCCCATGCTTGCTGGGCAGCCTGACTGCGTGCCTCCAAACGGGCAGGTGGGGCTAGCACAGAGCTCCATGGGTCCGAGGGATGGTCCTGGTGCCATCTCCATGCCCCACCTGCAGATGGGTAACGTGTTCAGCAAATAGAGCATGATCAAGGACAGGGGGCTGCGCAGACTTGCTCTTCTCTCCCTCCCTCTGGGCCTCAGTTTCCCCATCTGTATTATTGGAACAGCCATTTCCCTTCCCTACCTCACAGGGGTGTTGTGAGGCTGATCCAGCTTGTTCAGCACTTTTTAAGTCCTCTTGTGAACAGAGCTGGAGAAGCGCCAGCTCCGGGCTGTGATCAAATCATGACCGGTACTTCCCTGGGTCTGTTTTCTCCCCTCTCCCCCTGCACTGGATGCCCGGATGCTGTGAACAGAGAGGCTGTTGCGATGCCCGGCCCCCTCACCCCGGGCGATGCTGGAGGAACCCTTGCTCTCTTTCAATGTTGTAATAATCCTCAAACTGAAATGTATATTTTTGCTAGAAGTACAAACCTCCAAGTGTTTTTAATAATATAAATAGTGTCCACAGACTGACTTAACTTTAAATAAATATGAACTAAATATTTAAGACACTTTCAGAGCCTTGTAATACTTTTGTTGAAGGATCTTGCACCTTCCAGCCTCCCTGGGGAAGGAAGTGCCAAAGAGCTTTTGCTGGGAATGGCCGTGTCTGGGAGTTTGCAGCTATGATGCTCCCCTGTTGCCACATCGGGGTGTGGATGGGCCTGGTCCACACCCTGTTCCTTCAGGGTGGGCCGGGGGCACTGATCATGCATAACCATACCACCAATAGTACACCAGTGTAGATCTCACACACCCTCCCCTCGCCAAGGTAGATGTGCCAGCAAAAACCCTGTTCTGGAAGGTGATGTGCTGCCAGGAGAGGGCTTCTGTCCAGGATGCGTGCACTCAGGAAGCTGGTATAACTTTGTCAGCAGAACAGCTTCTGCCACGTTCCACATCTTTGTGACGCATCTTTGTGACACCGTGATGCTGGCGGTGGTGGTGGTGATGGTAGCCGTGCTATGTGGACCAGGAATCGCTCATGTGGGTTGTTCCACTTACTCGAATGGGGCTGTTTGCATGTAGTGTGAGTAGGAGCAGGGATATTACTGTAGTCCTGGTTGTGGGTCGGTGCCCCCTTGTGCTAGGTGCAGCACAAGCACTGATCCACAGTGATTATGAAAAACGATCAGACTCGATCGGTACTTTCTGCAGCGTGGGGTGGGGGGCAACTGCAGTCAGCAGCCAGCACTGGCCAGCCATGCAGAGCTTGGTGCTAGGGGCACAGAGTACAGAGCGCACTGCAAGGAGCCAGGTACAAATGCCCCTCTGCTCCCACCCTGGCTGAGCTGGGGGGTAGGGGACAGATGGGCTGTGTTGGTGCAAGCTGCGGGCAGCCTGGTTCTCCCAGCCTGGCACACCTATGGGCTGGTGATGTTACATTCACTTTTTGGTTTTGATGGTTTAAGCCAGGGGTTAAGGTGTTAATGTTTAACCTATTTGCTAAGACACTGCCAGGATCCCCCTCCTGCCTCCTTTGAGTTCCCTGTGAGTCTGAAATGGCCTTGGAGGGTATCAGGAGTAAGTTCCTGCTTGCTTGATAGCTCAAGTGGCCTTGAAGAAAGCTTGTCTGAGCAAAGGGGAAAAAATCCTCTGAGTCTTCCTCTGCTCACTCCAGCCTGCCACTATCCTTTGATTGCCTTTTAAATTAAACTATTACTGTTCCTTTCTCTGCTTTTCAGCCAACACATCCTTGGCCAACGCTCCTGGGTATTCTACTCATCTTGGTCCCAATTCCGCTTCTTGATGCCAGTCAAGACTTGAGTCCGTTTGAACGCAGTGGGTATTCTGAGAGAGAACTTTATTACTGCATCAGGGCTTCTCATCCAGAGGTTATGCTGAGCACTTCATTCTCCCACTGAGGTAGAGGCAAATGAGGGTGCACAGCAGCTGGCAGGACAGGGTCCTTCTAAGGAGACGTGGTTGGGGGCCATGCCCATCTGCACATAACGGTATTGGCACTGCAATGAGCTGAGGAGAGTGGGGGGTGTCCTGAATGGGGTTGGAAAGTCTTATACATGCCTTCTCAGTCTACTAGGAGACTGCACCCTGTGTCTTTGGGAGCAAGAAGATGCTAGTTCTGGCCCAGGGCTCTTTCAAGTGTCTGCTGTGCAGTGCAGAGAGGTCTACATCCCTGATCCTGTCAGCAGCTGGTGCCTCCCCAGCATTTGCTTTGTGCTCTGGCACTGTAGTCCAGGTAGCGGAGTTGCACCGTCAGGACTTTGTGGGGGCCAAGCTGCGCAGTACCAACTTGGACTTTGGCTGGGCAACAGCCTGACTGAGAGTGCTTTCTACTATGCTCAGCTGGCATCCCCGACACTTCACCAGCAAGGCTCCATCCTTGATAAAAAGTCTGATGGATCAGCTATGGGAGCATGTGGAGCTACATCACAGGCTTTGTCTCTGCCTGGAGGCCCCTATGTTGCTTAGGGCCCGGAGCGCAGGCTGGGAGAAGAGCATAGGCTCCCTCTCACAGGCCCCATTCAACGGGAGTAGGATTGGACATCATGGAGGAAATCCCCTTCTCTGGGTTCATTTCTCCCTTCTTGAAGTTCTGCTGCTGAGGTCAGTGGCAGCAGGAGCAGGTGAGTGTTTCGAAGCCTTAAAACTGAGCTTGTCATTATCATCATCATCATCATTATCGGCAATCCCTCGCAGTCGAGGATGATTGTCTTCCACGATCGCCTCATCTGTGGGTCTGAAGACGGCTGACGAGGCTGATCTGGGATCGACAGACCCCGCTGCAGCTTCGGCACCGATTTCTGTGCAGGGTGGGTGGTGCTGGGTCCTTGATTTGGTACACGGCATGCTTTTCCAGCACTTCCTTCAGGATTGTGAAGTCTGGAAGCTGCTAGTCATGAACCGGCTTGAAGGCGGCAGGTACAAGAAGGTTGTTGAGCGCGTGGACGAGATGATCAGGAGTGCGACTTGGCAAGGATAACCGCAACTTAGCAGCCCTCTCCGAATCCACTGAGCTTGTATTTCATGACTTGTCACGGGAGCTGGGGAGGGCAGGAGCTACAGCACAGATCTTGCCCTTGCTTTTTTCTTTTTTGAATTTTGTTTCCAGTCCAAATCAGTTCCAAACGAGGTTCCAAGTTTTGACTGAGCAGAGCTTAATTGTTCGTGCCTGTGCGGCACTACCACCAGCAAGTGTCCTTCCTTCCAGACGTCAGACACTACTGCCAAATCCATGGCAGGTGTCCTACGTGCAGATCTCACTTGACCATAGCCAGCAAGGCTGAAGGAGCAAGCTTGAGGGAGGACTCAAAAGCAAATAAATTGTGTAGCCAAGATTGTTATCGCCCTAAACTGTGTATGTAGCAAGCAAGATCCTTGCATTTAGAAGCATTTGTAGGTTTGTAGGAAGATGCTCCCAGGGGTCAGCCTGCCTGCAGGGCATGAGACAGGCCTTCACCCTATAATTACACCAAGTCATTCAAGGCAGAGAAGGTCATACCATCTCCCCTGGGGCCCAGACACACACCTCCAGACAGCAAGCAGAGTCCTGGGCTGAGGAGAGGGTGGCACAAAGGGCATGGGGTGAGCACACAGCTCCCCAGAGTCTTGGCTTTTATCCAAGTGTTAAGCTGTGGAGGAAGGTGAGTGGGACCCCATACAAGCCCCGTCTGTTTGCAGCCCGAAACAATGGGTTGTGAACTACCCCATTCATCTCAGTGATTGTCGTTCAAATGCTATGAATGGTAATGGTGCTACTTACACAAAAGAAAAGGAAGCATAGTGGAGGCTCTAAAGGCAGCACAATTAGCTCCTTGGGGGAGTGAAATGTGTAGCTCGCACAAGCTTTGGAAACCGAAATGAGGGGTTGGGTTCATCTGTGCCTTGGACCTGATGCACCCATTCAGGCTTGCTGGGGGATGTGATGGGGGGTCAGGTACCATGTCATGCTCTGCTTCTTGCCTTAACTGTGCTGCTGTCCGTGTACAGCAATAGCCTAGCACTACTGCTACCAGGATGGAGCAGTTTATCCCTGCATTAAATACAGCCAGTCTGGCTTGAAACATGTTTGGGGAGGGAAAACTTCTCCAGGCTGTTACCTGCTACAGTGGGCAGAGTACCTGAGGCCCGGAGAGCAGCTGGAGCAGGATGGGAAACAGTACAGAGTGTGAATGGGGGGTTGAACCCCTTGGGCCAGCAGAGCCCCATGGACCATGGGCACCTTATCACCAAACTCTGAGCGCAGAAGCGGAGCAGTTGGCTGAGGCCTCCGGCAAGCTCCCAAATGACTCAAAGTGGGGAGCCAGCATTCTTTGCTATTTCCACAGTCTTATTTCCTTGTATGCAGAGCATGGGGGAAGGAGCAAGCAGCAGGGCAGTGACTGTCCCGGGGATCCCTTTGGTGCAGTCTCTGCAGGGGTGTGTGGGTCACAGCAGAGACAACGCTGCTGCTGGGGGTGTGGGGATCCAGGGATATAAAGTGTGGTGCGGGGGGGGGCGGTATTTTGTGTATACTGGGGAAGATGGGAGACAAGCCTCTAGGTTTCCAGTGCCTTCATCTGGTCTGGGGAACCAGCAGCACCAGCCCAAGCTAAGGACAAGGTAGTTTGCTCCTGGTGAAGACTCACCAACAGAAGCCAGTGGCTCCACTGACACCCACCCCAGATGTGACCAGACCTTGTCACCGCACTCAGCTGAGTCCAGAGTCCCACAGGTGCCTACCCCCATAACCTGGGCTATCCTCACCCACTGCACCACCTGCAGTAGGACAGCGATGCCCTAACACCAGGGGGATCACGCTATTGGCACAACTACCAGCCCATGCCTGATCCTGTCTTTGTCCTCAAGTTGGCTTTTGTCTATGAAAGCTCCTGCTTCTCTGAACCAGTCAGTCTGTAAGGTGCCACCCTGCCCTGCACTCTGTCCCCAAAGGAAACCTATACAATACCTTCAGAAAGCCTGCCAACAGAGCGCCACGATTTTACCGGGCATCAAAACCAATGGTTTCGTGGCCCCATTGTAGCTTATCTCTTGCCTCTTCCTCTTTGCTTCACAGGTGGTAACTGCCTACTTGCTTTCAAGCAGTCAAATTCATCCTCACCATTAGGATAAAACTAATGCTTTGGTTCTAACTTGGGCTTAGCTCAGACTGCGCTTGACCTCATACAGGGCAACTGAGGAGGGAGAAGGTTGCTTCTCAGTTGTATCCCAGCTGTACCAGTTGAAAGCCTGGCTGCATTAGGCCAAAGACAGGGTGGGTGTGCATAGGATAGACTAACCAAGTAAGCAGCCATTTCCTTCATCAGATGCTGAGAAGGGAGTGCAGGAAGCAGGGCCTCTAAATAGGCAGCAGTGATTAGAATACAAAGGGCAGGGGAGGGAGAGGAAAAGAGAAGAGGGGCACTGATGGGGGAGGCAAGGGGGGTACGGGAGAAAAACAAAGCACTTAACCCATTGTTGCATTACACAGCGAAGACTTGCCCGGGCACAAACAACTCACTCGTCCCTGCCCTGTCCTGCCCCGCCCCAGGTTTTAGGGCTGCATTAGTG